AAACATGAAATAAGTTGTTTCAAAATTTACTCTCAATTTCAGACAAAAATCTAATAAATTTTTAAAGAATATATGGAAAACCTTATCGAAGATGGGACCTGAAAAAAAGGAAAACATCTAATAAGTATATTAATTACATTTATTAACCAATAAATATGTTTATGTACTACCAACTGTATTTTTACCACAAAGAAGGATATGTACGTGCTCAGCCACCAAGGAGTCATAAGTTGTAGGTCCGTTTTCTTTTTCCTTGGTTTTGTGTTATTAATTAATTAGTGTATTTATTGTTCTAGTATTATCAACATTGATACTTTCGTTATCAGTATTGATACTATGATTATCGTCGTGTTCTCAACATACTACTAATAAAGAGAAAAGAATAATTCGTAACTGGTAAATGAATCATAATGCAGATTTTATAGGTTTGTATAATTAAGTGATATCCTTCTATAATGGTTTTCATTATGGTCATTGTTTAGTGTACCTTCGCATACCACTGGATACTTACCAACATGACTCCTAAAAAGACATTTACAAACAAAAAGGACACACTGCATGCAGGGCCGGATTATGACCTTTTGGGGCCCCTAGGCTAAATTAAATTATGGGGCCCCCTCAGAATAGTTTTTACTCGTGATATATTTTAGCGACATTTACATAGCTGGAAGTAAACTTATTGCAAACTTATAAACTAGCATAGCTATCTTTTGCTTGTCAATAAAAATATTCTTGAAATACCACTATTTTACTATATTTCAACACAACCGTAGTGAAAAAAAAAATTATAACCAAGGCCCTCAAGCTTGGGGCCCCCAAACTTGAGGGGCCCGGGGATACAGCCTATACTAGCCTATAGGATAATCCGTCCCTGACTGCATGTGTTTTACCCACGTGGACAGTTCGAAACAACGCTGTTTATCTCAAAATTTGAATTTCTTGCGGCCTCTTGGTTCAGCCGCAAGCGTACTATCGATATACTTGCACGTGTTCTTACTTCTATTGGATTTCTTAGAGTGTATATACCCCCGAAGAAAAGGCATTGAAATTACAGTGAACAAGGCATGTATTCATGTCATCCATGACCATTGAAATGGGGTGCATTTGTTTGGCCGCTTTCACACATAGGTAGCACGTCGCACGTGGCAAATGGTAGGTGGTAAGTGACACGTAGCACGGTGATTTCAGACTAAGGTTATACGTGACGCGTGTCAGGCCATTTTCACTCGGCTCACAAAATGGCATAATCGGAAAATGACAATGTTATTGTTATCCTAATTCCTAAGTAATCTTGTGACAATCATCTATCTGTCACTTGGAGGAATAACGTGAATGACTTTGGGGCAGAATCTGAGGCAAACTTGCTCCTGTACCCCCAGCTCTCTCAGTCCAGGGTGTACATGTACTCATACCTGGTACACCCGACTTCTTTGGGCAGAGGAAGCAGTAACTTTGTACGACTTTAATGATTGGAACATGATATCACTGATACAAAATACGAAACAAAGCACTGGATATATCTTGAAAACACTTGTAGGAGCTTTTTTTTCGTAGGCTATAATGATGATTCTACCATGGAGAGTATTGATATCATGCAAACATTTGTATTTCTCCACAGTTTGTACAAATGTTGATTGATTCTTTGTCTGGAAGAGGGATAGTTGTACGCGAGGATAGGTACACATCGCTTTGTTTCCTCCAGCATGACTGCCCGTGCTGCTCTCTCATCGAAGCCTCGTTCACTGGGCGACTGAAGCGGTGAAGTCAATTACGTTCGGCGGAAATCTGGCTAGACACTTCAAAACTACTCTCTATATTCCATACATCCAAAAGTTGTCATTTTTTATGTTATTTAACTTTAAAATTTTAATATTACCTTGGCTAAAACTCATTGGATGTAAAATCTCCGTTGCAGTCTCACATACTGTCAGAGGTGGCAGGTCGCACGATGAAAGAACGAGTAAGTAGTACGTGGCACATGCGACATGCCACGCCACTTCTGTGTTCGTTTTCAAATGGCGCGCCACGTGGCATGTCTCATGCGACGTGTCACTTTGGTGTTAAAAATATATAAATCAAATATTGTTTTTCCACGGCGAATCCAGGTGTTATGACATGCGATGGAGAAACATACTGGATATAAAAAAACAATTCAAAAATGGTCGTACCGATATCAACCGTTCTTTAACAGTCTGCACAACAGCGGCAACATTTCACAATTTATTGGGGGAGCACAAGCACTTGTGGATATGATTACATATATATACTTACATATAGACATTTGAAATATAAGCATGAAAAGGATAATTTTCTCACAAACACACGCCCTTAGGCTAATAATTGCTACATATATTCATTCATACATACACACACACACACACACACATATATGTAATATAAATGTAAAAAATATATTTATATGCGTGTGTGTATGTGGGGGAGTGTACTCTCATATAAATATGAATATAAAGATAAATATATGTACACACACACATGTAATTGTTGCACCATGGAATACGCGAAACATCGTTGCATTGCTCATTTGGTGACACGTTCTATCGGCGCTGGAACGGAGCTTGTAATGCGATTTTATATACATTTATTATTTTGATCATAGCATTAGAATCTTCCCCATATCGGAGTGCACAGGGATGCCTGATATAAACCGGGGTTACATGAATCGCCTAATAGATCTATGCTCCGACGTAACGATAGTAGGTACAGGTATAACCGAAGTTATTCGTACGATCGAAGTATGTCCGTTAAATAATGTAGGACTAGGGTTTAAGCCAGAATCGTTATTCGCTTATTAATCACAACCTTCTCACCCTCTTGAAGTCGCTGCTATGTTTGGGTAAATCCCAAGCGATCGTGTGATTCGTGATATATACCCGTAGGGCATGTCACGAGCGCTCATCACAGATTCGCAGAAAAGAGTGGATTATTTATATTTTTTCCCGGCTCGTCGCTTCGTATAGTACGGTATTTTTGAGTATAGACCCCCGTCGATGAAGTCTGCATGCACCGCTACTTCGGGAGATTTGCTGACCCCGCGGATATTTGCGAATATTTTTTCTCGTCACCGTTCATTAGTGTGTCGTTATGTCGCATATCCTTAAATGTTGAATTCAGTGTTATAGTTGAAATATTTTCGTATTGATTGCATCGCTAGTTATTGCATTAATGTTAAAATGAATGTCAGCCTTTATATTTGCCATACAATCCGCTCTGTGTGAGGTCACTTTCACTTTCATTCTCATTCACGCTCACTGTCGCTCACACACACACTCACTCACTGTTGTCGTTTGCCTTATCTACTCTCCTATCTATCAGAGACGGTTGGTAGTGTAAGCCAGGTCCTGCTGATTGCTACTAACGTAGATCTCTCCCATCTTCTTCTTATCTTGTAAAATTAAACAAAAAATGTTAAAAGACGAAAATGATGTAATAACGAACATTAAAAACTGCAAATTCATATAAATAACCGGTTTAACGCTTAACACCCCCTTTTCTCTGTTGTCTTTCTTTTTCTCTTCTATCTTGGCCCTCACGTGTATAATCTGGTTCAACGATATCTGATACAGCACCGAAAAGAGGACCTTGCTGCATAAACAGTCACATTAGCATGCTGTGGGAAGAATGTCATCGGAAGATCGCCAGAAACCTACGGACCAGGGTGTTCGTCAGAGCAAGTATTAAGCCGCCCCAGGATGTGGAAGGGCACCGCCTGCCTGGACGCCCGCAGATCCAGTCAAACTGCAGGAGCTCTCCTGCGCAGGTATCAGCCGCACTGAAATGTAGAAGAGGACGCCCCCTGCCTGATCGCCCGTAGATTCAGACGAAGATTACGAGGACGTCTGGACGAGCACGCAGCCGAGAAGGACCTGGACGAGATCTGTGAGGACTTGTGTTAGGCGAGCACGCCGCCGAGTTAGGCCTGGGCGAGGACTACGAGGAAGTCTGGATGAATCCGAAGTCAAGGAGGA